GGTGTAGAATAGCTTGGTGGTTAGGATGCTTGCTTTCGAATCCTAGGCTCATGGGTTCAAATCCTGTTACGGTTAAACAAAATTTTTTTTTTCACAAACAAAAACAACTCCACTTCCTAAGACTTAATAGCTTAGTTTATGTAAAGCATCATGTTTGCGTGTAAAGAATTGCCCCTTAGTGATTATGTTCACTATTGGTATATTCTTGGAAATAAATAATATATAAATAAATAAACACCATGATGCATTTAATAAAACTAACGACCATCTTTAATCATGAACATGATCGCGGGCTCAGTTTTGCTTCATCAGACACTACTGTTTTACGCCAATTTAAATACATACTCTAATTCATATAAGCTCTGGCAAAATGTGTTACGTTTGCGCTGATGATGAGAACAGTCTGCTACTGCTACACAATCGGGCTCACTATTGAGCCAGCGATCATGATCACGATTAAAGACAGTTGTTTGTTTTATTAAATACCTTGTGGTGTTTTTACTTATTTGAAAGTTTGGTGGCATTATTCATGACCCATCTAACAAATAAATAATAACAAGTCAGAGTAATCCAACAAAGAATGAAAAAAAAACAACAAGTCTAACTTTACAGGATTCATTTGTGATAGGTTTCCAGCCTTGCTGAAAGTTTGCAACTTCTTCATCTCCGTAACTGTATGGGACACGGCAATCCTGCTTGAACTGCGGTTTCATCACATCAGGCACATGACACTTGTCTGAATGAACAAAAAAACAATAACTAGATTGATTGTATTTTTTGGTGTGAACCTACAAAAAAGAATGATTTCCAGTGTAGTCTATTTATTCATTAGTTTCTTTTCCTTTTTCCTCCTGATAATTTTTTTTTTAATATTTAGATTTTTGTACTAGGCAGCTACAAAACCACACCATTATGGCTGTAAATAATGTACTGGCTTGTCAACCTTAAGAACTGGTGGTCATGGTTGTTACTGTTCATGATGGTCTTGGCTATTTTAGGTTATTTCTTGTTCTTATTCTCTTTCATTTTTTCACTCTTTTCTGTTTATGTAAAGCGCAAAGAAGGTCCGGTATTATGTGCTATATAAACTTAACATTATCATTATTAATATAATTATTTCCATATTATTATTATTATTACTTTAAACTACCCTTATTATTATTATTATTATTATTATTATTATTATTATTCATATTATTATTATTATTACTTTAAACTACCCTTATTATTATTATTATTATTATTATTATTATTATTATTATTATTATTATTATTATTACTTTAAACTACATTTTATAGGGAACTTAACTCAAAGTACACGGTTGGAAATCAAGATGTGTTTAAGAAATATTTGTTATAACTTAAAAGTGAATGTTGTATTCAGTACAACAAAAATCTGTGATTTTTTTAGTAATAAAAATCCTATTTCAAATTATGTTAAATCCAGTGTTGTTTACTAGTACATATGTGGCGGGCTCTACTGTATATAACTAGGATTGAAGAACATTTGAAAAGGGACAAAAATTCACATGTTTACAAACATTTAGCAAGAAACCATCAGCACTGTAAAGCACACAGCAACAAAACTTGCTTTAAAATAATAGGCCAGGCAAATACAGGTTACCAATTAAAAATTAAAGAAGCTCTCCACATCAAGTGGAGAAACGCGTCACTTAACAAACAAGTACACTGCTATAACTTAACACTGTGTGCTGGCAACACCGAGACTGTGGTCTGCGCAAAGCTCAAGGAGACGTTGCCCATTTTCATTCATTCTTCCAATGCCATGTGGTGCGATCACGTTTCTCCATGAGTTGAAATCAGAGCCGATGCGAGCATTGAAATCGCCAATAAGTGCTAAGTTATCTCCAGCTGGGATATTGAGTATGGTCTCACTAAGGATTTCATAGAACTCATCCTTGGACTCAGTACTGTCCATCAATGTAGGTGCATAGGCGGATATTATAGTAATGTAGCCATATTTTAGGCACATTCGGAGTGTCATGAGACGGGGTGAAATTGAAATAGGTTGCTGAATACATGAAAGTAACCTATTATGAACAGCAAAACCAACTCCATGCTTAGGTCCTACGGTGTCAGGATGACCGCACCAGAAAGGTGTAATTTGCCTCGCAAACAGATCCACTTCCAGTAAGCCATGTTTCACTTAGAGCTGCAACATTTATTCCAAAACTTTCTAGGTGAACGCGAGGTTCTGTCTGAGAGGATGCTTAAAGAGCGAACATTCCAGCATCCTAAAACTAAATTAAAAGAGGAAGTAGCAGGATGTCGACCCGGCCGCGCCTTCGTTGCGCGCGAACCTTGCCGAGTAACGGCAGCCGTTTTCTGTGGAGATGACTACCGAGTTACCAGTCGTTGAAACATATTAATACTTGTCATCATTTGCTTTTGGACGCTAAACGCCTGGGCAAGAAAGAGTGAGTGAATGCTTGTCCAGAACAGACACACACCTCTGGACCTCATAACAACCTGTTCCAACGGAACGCAGAAACATGACAGCTGGGGTAGATGGAGGTTGCCCCGCAGTAGCAAGCTATGCCTAATAACCGCCAGCCGTTGTCTAATAAAGATCATCCGCCTGCCGATTTACTGTACAAGCCAGTGAAACAACATATTCATTGGTTCCTGCCAAGATAACAGTTTACCAACCCCTGCTGCCGGGTTGGCAGGTGCTGACCCCCAACACCAGGGTATATTTGATCCATTTAAGGAGGATACAGTTTTACTTCATGACCATGATGTATCTGCTCAGCTTGTCCAATACCCATGCCCTCAGACCTGTCTGGCTTGGGTGACCCTGCCAGAAGCATAAGCTTCCGCCAGCATAGCTCCAAGGGTAGGGGGACGATACTAAGCAGATTTTAGGTTATAGCTAAACGAAGGAGGCTATTGATAAAGTCACTTCAAAGAAGACCAATAACCAGCAAATCTAGACTGAAGGTAATCAGAGGAAACTATTATTTAAGTTACCACAACAAGACCTACAGTCATGTTAATCGCAATGCAATATGAATAGTATGCTCAAAACGTTAATCACAATACCTAACACGTTAATCACAGAGTAATTTACATAGCATTTATGAACAGTTGATACACTATTTTAGCTGGTTTCACCGAATCACGCAATTGATATGCATTGATTATGCACTGATGATGTTGTTGGTATAACAAAGAAACATGTTGCAGCTACAGGCCTAAATACAGCAATGAATAAATCAATCCTTATTAAGTTAAAATTAAGCAATTAAAGCAGAAGCAACTTTTTGAAAAATTATTGTATTATTATTATTATTATTATTATTATTATTATTATTATTATTATTATCATTATTAAAATTTTTTATAGAGGATAATCAGGAGGTGTAACAACCTGTTATACACATGGTTCCATTTAGTGATACAAAATTCAAAAATTATGCGAAAAAATCCAATGCAGAATACATTGAATTTTGTTAAAATACATAAAAAAAAGTTAATGTAATAAAATGATAAAATTATTTATCTAATGATAACATAGTAAAACTCAAATAGTAAAAGTAAAAAGACTAGTAAAATTGTTTTATGAAATATACAGACTTTAATCATAAAATAAAAAAAAACTATATGTAAGAGTTGTAAAAATTAGAAGTATTTTAAAACTATAGCTTAATTAAGATTGTATTAATCATAAATTCTAATTTTATAGTTTAATTTGCAATTAAATATAATTAGTAGATTCTTTTAATATGGAAATGTACATGTGCACCAGCATATCTAAGTGAAGTCTTGATGATATATTTAAATTTGCTTTTGGAGGTACAACTTAGTGAATCTGCATTCTTGTGTTAAACTCACATTGATCAAATATCATTTCTACTCGGTTACAAAGTCTAGGAGGTGCAGTACTGTTAACATTTAAACATTAAACATGCAATACTATTCCCCAGTGTCATCTTTCAAAATTTCTACGACAAATTTTTCATTATTTCCTCTCCATGTATTGTGTGATAATCAAAGTGTATGCAAGTTTGTGAGTAAATTTAAATTAGAGCTAACAGATTTTGTGACGTATTTAGTGTGATGTTCCCACATAAGATATTCATCTACTTTTTAGTTGTATTTATTATATGTGTTGGACATTTTCAATGAATAATCTCCAAGACGGATATTAAAATTATGTGGTGGAACAACATGTTTGTTTTTTTATAAGCATACTTTTAGTTTTTTTTGTTGTCATTCTGGTAGTGAATGGCCAGTACATGGGCTGTACCTTATAAACACATCAATAGTTTTCTAAAGATAGAGGGATATTTTATAATTGCATTTCAACCCTCTAGCTATAAAACAAGAGAGAAGCGGATGCTACTGACTGGATAGCAGAGGCTTACAACAGATCTCCATGGTTCAGCACAAACACAGTACCCACCACCAGTTTAGTTGTCTTTGAACTATGCTGTTTTCTCCATCAACGAGCATGAATAAATAAACCTTTTTTTTTTAATGATGCAGAAGTCATTTCAAAATAGGAATAAAGTGAGGGACAAAAAATTTAGGGGATCCATTACACATCTGAGCCTCACCATGGTTGGGGCCGCAGGTAAGAAATTTTTTGGAACCTCTACTGTAGGTGAGCAGAAATTGCACTCTCAGACTTAAAATTGAATAAAATTTTCTTTTTTTCTCTATTTTTTTCTTTATTTGGAAAAATTTAGGGCGGGAGTACCACTTTAAGAGAAAGGTGATGTACAAAATTAGACAGTCCAACAAAAATCCTGTGTAGCTACTGTACTGTGTTCTGCAGGCCTAAACACAAGCAATTACCCTTTTCTATTCTCAGCTGACGGAACTGTGGCACGCCAATAAGGTATGATTGTTGGTCTGCTACAAACTGGATCGACTCTGCTCCTAACAAAGTGTTGCTCAGGTTTACCGGAAAGAGGCTAGGCAGTAGAACATTGTCCGTCCAATTCCAAAAATGTTCTCTCTTTGATACCTATAATGTAAAACAAGATATTCCTATATTTATTTATCATTCAAAGGATAACAAATTTCAGAAGATTATAGTAAGGTTTTACATTGAATGAAACACATTTGCTATTTTAACAACTAGGTGCAACCATAATATGTTTCAATATTCTTTTTTAATTTGTAATTAAAAGTTCCAGACAGATGCTGTTAACAAATTCTGTCTTAATCTTTTACCAGAATGGCCAAATGATGGACAATCACTATATATTTAAAATCACTTCTATTCAATAAACAGAAAAAACGCATTACAATAGTTTGTTGAAAGGAAAAAATTTAGAAAACTCTGGAGGATACACTCTTAAAATAAATGACAAGGGAGGGGACAGAGCCCAAACAGATTACAAAAGAAAAAAAAGATGAAAGAGGAAAAGAAAGATGAGACAAGACAAAACAGACAAGGAGAGATGATAAATATATAAAAATTGCGTAGTATGGTATTACACATTATTCAGAATATAATAATTATAAATTTTTGCAAATTTGAGTAATTAGGTCAAAAATAGAGAAATATAAAATTCATTCAAAATGAAATATTGCACCTTAAAAAAAATTCATATTCTTAAAAGTGTGAGATCAGAATGCTATAGATGATATGCCCGTCCTTTAATTATGGAGGCCTCAGAATCGGCAGTTAAATATTTGCTGTTGGATATGGAAGATCTATTACAGTATTTATTATAATAGGCCTAATCTATATTATATGATTATTATAATAATATATTATATTGACCTTGGTGAATTTAAGCTTCCCATTGTATGCTGCATTCACATATGTTTCAACACTGCTCTGACGAAGAAGATAGGAATTGTGGTCGGTGTTTCCAAATGAAACGAACATCAGCACGTACAGAAACAAGATGTATATAATAATTTCACGAACAATTATATGCATGCGAATTTCTTTGAATCTAAAAGTTTAAAGATGAAAAAAGCATAGAATAAATTAAACTTACTCTTATTGCAAAGGGGCGCCATACATCTTTGATTAGTACTATACATTCAGTCATATATGTATGAACCATCTCATAGTTTTACTCATGTATACGTATGTCCAAGTTCAAAGCATTTGGGCGCTTTGTGAAAGGCTATATAATGATAGGCAATAAATGAACACATATTATGTGCTCACTTTGACCTTCATTATATGCTGTGAAACTGCAAGAGAGCTTATCATCCTCCTACCAGTGCTAATAAAACTACAGTAATGACAATGGATGATCTAGACCTGTCCAGATTATAAAAGTTTATTTGACAAAAACATCTGACAAACCAGTTTTTGTCAAAGGAAAAATAATAATTTGGACAGAGCTATACAGTTGTCCAAAAATCGAAAGCTCACTGGTATCGTACCTGGTCTCTCGTGCTTCCGCAATCTCCTCAGTATCCGGTGGCATCGAACTAGCAATCATGTCTGCCCGTTCCCTTTCAAATTCCTCAAGCATTTGGGCATTTTCCAACTCTTCCTCTGTCATTCTTTCATGTAACAATTCTTCTCCATCGTCAAGCTCAGGTGGTGGTGGAGAATCATCATCTTCTTTGATTGGATTTTTGATGACCAACGAGAAGAAGACAGCAATCAAGATAACCTAATGAATGGTTTAAAAGTGATGGCCAGATTATGTGACATGCCCATGACTATATGATGGGTATACAGCATTTTTTTGTTCAAGAATATTTATTAATCTGGACAAAGCTTAAAAGTGCTGTCCAAAATATTATTTAAAAAATGTATGTCATAACTGAGATGTCATTATCATAATCAATGTGCTCATTTTATACACCAACCACTGAATGCAATAGATCACTTTGAAGTGTCAACAGGCTGAAGACTACAAATGTCCTACAAATGTATGCGTTTACCTTCGTTTTATGAGACCTAAAGCACATTGTAGTGGGATATAACATGAAGAAAATTAAGATTATTCGAAGGCAAGCTGCTGAAGATAGTGAATATGATTTTTCATGGTTATGATGGAGCTTATGTCTATAATGTAAGTGTATGATGATGACATACACCTTGCCAATGAAATATTGGTCATAGCGTAACAGCAAGGATTGGCTTAGATTGCATTGCGATCACACCTAAAAAAACTTGCACTCCCCAGTCGCCCTCCCCTATTGAAAATCATACCCAAGTAGATAATCACCTCATATCACCTTATCTTGTGAGCTAAAGCTCCCTCAGGTCCCCCCACCTCAACTTCGCGCCCCCATCAGCACTCCCCCACCCCCGCCTATTTGAAGATTTATAGATACGTCACTGCTATAATTACCTGGTACACTGGTTGAATTGATTGATGGATCGATGGGTTTATTCGGTGTAAACACCACAGATAACCCACGGAAGTCTGAAAATTTACTTCCAGTGGGGGTCCTTCCGATGGTGATTGGGCATTACACCGGGAGAAAATCCCCTACTCTTTCCTAACAGTTTGCTGTGTTCTCAAACTTGCACACGGGCCATTACACATGGGAACAACAGTTTGTGCTTTCATAACTTGCCTTTCAGCCCTCCAGCTAAAACACAAGGACAGCAGCGACGGGAAGTGAACCGGGGACCTTGAGATCTCCACACAGTGGCTACCACCAGTTCAGCTGACTGAGATAAGATGCTAGCAATGTGGTCACTACGACATTGGTCCCATGTACATAATAGCACATGTGCAAAAAAAACATATAGGCCTAAGTACACTGACCCAAAAGAGAGGGGAATTTCTCCCAGGATCATGGTAGACGCTGCAAGTCCCTAGGGGCCTAATCTGAAGTTCCTTCTTGAATTTCAACAAGAAACAATTGTATACAATTACATGTAAAAATCTACACTCACCAGCCGTTTCGTGTAAAATGCAGATAAATTTAAACTGCTCTTTAAAAAAAAATTTAGCCATTCCTCTGATAATAATGTAATTTACTACTAGAAGAAATTTGAATCACTACATAAAAACACATTTGAAGCTAACATTCGCATGTACAATATTTAGAATATGATACATCAAATCATATCATTATCATCATAATCTTCACTGTCATCATCAGCAGCAGCAGCATCATTAACATCTAGGTCTAGCCCAATGCATACCTTTATAGGTTGTGAAACCAGAACATCTTGACATAAAGCTATTGCTATGGAAGTAAGCCATTCGTTAGCTTTCTTGGCCCCGAATGCTGCAGCATAGGATATGGTCAACCAAAACGCAACTCCTATGTTAGCAACAGCAATGAACCAAGCAAAATACTTGAACCGCCAATTCAGAAGATATCTCTTTCTCTTCTTTCGCTTTACTTTGTAACCTAACACAAGATGTTCTTTTGATTCCTCAATCTTTTCAGTCAGAGCTGGTTTCATTTCAATGTGTACAGAGTTGTTGGATGCGGTTGAATGCCGGCTGACTCTACTCCGTGACCGGCTTGAATCAGGAGGTGGTGTAGCCATGTTCTCTTTTTCAAGCAGCAAATCGTGCATGTCCTGGTGTTTCTCTATCGTTTTCGTTTCGGTTTGCAAACTTGATGAGATTGATGAGACAATAGGCTCTGACTTTCTTGCCTTCTTTCTTTTAGTTCGGCAGAAAAACCGAGCTCCTTCTGGTTTTGGTTCAGAAGTGCGAAATAGTTGAACCGTGAAGAGACTTGTTGGAAATACCATCAGGCTACTTATGATACCTGTTACCACCTGCGTTAGGCTGAACTCAATTGGACCGAACAGTTTGATTACTGGCCCACCTGTATTAATCATATCCACACCATAAAAGATAATGTTTGCCATCATGGTGCTGAACAAAAGTGAGAGACAACAGGTTGCACGCTGGACTCGAGTAAAATTGCTTTTCGATGGACGAAAGAACACAGAGAACCAAAGATGCGAATCTTTTAGGTTTTTGCGAGTCTTACTGTGGAAAAGGAGTCCAAAACTAGTCAATTCACTACGACCAGCAGCTGGAATAATGCGTTCAATCTAAGAGAAATGTCAAATGGTTTATTAAAAGCTCAAAACAGTGTCATATATAATAACATAAAATTTATGTAAACCACAGCCCTTCAGCTTTGAATTAAAGCTATTAACATAGCAGTAATTTAAAACTAAAGGGCTGTGCAGTGG